GCTAAGTTGCTGAGGCTGAGAAGGGAGCTAGCCACTGATTTGGCCAATGCTCTTGTGGAGTTGGGTGTGTCACACTCATTAGTCTATGTGATCACAACACAGCAATAACTGACCCGTGCCACTGTCCTCATTTTATAGATAAGAAAACCAAGGCTCAAGGAGATTCAGTAATTGGTCCAAGATCACGTTCAGGGTAGAATTAGGGTCTAAATTAAGGTCTGATTCCAACCTATAACAAGTTAACAGATGTAAAGATTTGAAAGTCCAAACCCTGCACAGAACTGAAAACTTAGAAACTCATCCAGTATCTTCGACCCTCTCTAAAGCATATTTGAGGGGTGTTTCCACTCCCACTGGCTTCCTATTTCTGTCACTCCCTGCCCTCCCCACTACTTCAGAACTGGACAGCTCCTGCACTCCCGATGGCTTCCTTTCCTTAGGGCTTGACTTCAGAAGAATTGGCTTTTTGTCAGAGTGACAGTAGGAGTATGGAGGTGTGTGTGTGTGTGTGTGTGTGTGTGTGTGGCGTGTGTGTATGCTTGAGCATGTGTGTCTTTGAGCATTTATGAATAGGTGTGTGTGTGTGTGTGTGTGTGTGTGTGTAGGAGTGTGTAATGTGTGTGCCTTTATGGCTGGTGGCCCATCTTTCCTTGGCCACTCTACACAGAGCAGCTTTGAGTCTATCTCTCTGCCTCTCTTTCTCCTCTAAAATGACAGGGTCAAGCCAGGTAAAGCTTGTGTACATATGAGTGCATGTGTCTCCTGGTGTATCTTTATTTGTGACTCCATGTTACAAATACATAGACTGAGTCTATGTATTTCTGTGTGTATATATAAGTTTGTGTGGGAATATATATATATATATATATATATATATATATATATATATATATATCCATGCATTGAATGTGTGTGTGTGAGGGTGTCTGAGGGAGACACAGATTCTCTCTCTGTGGGCTTAGGTCTGTGCCTGGAACCATGTCACTCTGCAGGACACAGCAGGGCACAGGACTGTGGTGGGAGGCCCTGCTGATGAGGAGTGGTACTGGATTGAGTGGTTCTGCATCTCCATCCACTCCTGGGCTGTTCCAGGAGCTTGCTATCTTTTCATGCCTGGAGACCCAGCAGAGAATATCACCACAGAACACTCGTGCAGTTAAGATAAAAACTTTCATTTTAAATGAAAGGACCCCTCTTATTGGGAACTGGGTTCATAGAGCAAGATCCGTCATTAGTGACTTCAAGGATCTGGTTAAAAATCAGTTTTTGTTTGTTTGTTTTGTATCAGGGATTGAACCCAGGGGTGCTTAACCACTGAGCCATATTCCCAGCCATATATATATATATATATATATATATATATATATATATATATATATATACACTTATTATTTTTTTTAATTTTTATTTTTTATTTTGAGATAGGGTCTTGCTAAGGTGGTTAGAGCTGGGATACTGAGGCTGGCTTTGAACTATAGTGTGAAATGGTTGAGCTTACTGGGGATTTGGCAGTCCTCTTGCCTTTGGAAATTTTGGTTATAACTTCATTTCTGATAGGAAACCTATTTGGCCTCTGTCCTATTCAGGCTCTTTGGATTATAAAGTGATGAGAATAATGATGTGTGGTAGACCCCCCCCCCCAAATGTTTATGTTGTCGCTCTTGAAAATTTTCTAGAGATGCACCTTTCTTAGAAATCATGTGGGGGCCACGCGACTGAACTGTGTGGCCTGCGTTCATAGGTCTTTACCCCCTCACAGGTAGGAAGGGGGCTGAGCTTGCCAGGTGCCACTAACAAGCTGGCACTGGGAGCTGGTGGAAGGGACTCAGGGATGGGGTTCCTGCTTCCAGCCCTCCCCTGGGCACTGGAGGACGTGCCATGATACCTGTGTATTCTGCACAGATAACTAAATGTGTGCCTCAAACATTTCCATCTCCCACAAGTTAGTGGCTCATGTCCTTGTCACTATACATGGAGGGGTTCCAAGATGCCTCTCTGCCTCCTCCATTTCCCCTCTGTAAAGTGTCAGGGTCAAACCAGGTGAGGTGATGGTTCAGGACCCTTGGGTGCAGGGAGGGGGCTTAGTCCACCTCAGGGGAAACACCAGCTCTGTCTGTTCACATCTGGTTCCCTGGCTGTGGGACCTTGGGCACACTGCCTGACCTCTACAGGCTGCTCCTTATCTGTGAGATAGGGACGGCCGTGCCTTCTCACTGAATTGTGTGGATCAGCGAGTTAACAGACATTCAAGCCCTGGCATAGCTCACAGCAGGCTCTTGGTGCCCAGCTTCCTGTTATTTTATATATATATATATATATATATATATATATATTTAGTTTTCAATGGATCTTTATTTTTATATGGTGCTGAGAATCGAACCCAGTGCCTCACACATGCTAGGCGAGCGCTCTACCACTGAGCGCTCTACCACAGCCCCAGCCCCAGCTTCCCCGTTATTACTGTGTATTGTGGAAGCTCTTTCTAAATTATCTTAAAACAAACAAACAATCATCTCTCAACCAATCAACCGTGGAATACAGTGGGAAAGGTTTTTATTTTTTAAGTCAAAGTCACCCTTAGTGTATGTCTTACCTTTGTGCCAACCCCCAGGGCCCACTTTGGTCCCAAGGCCCACTTTGGTTGCATGAGGACCCCTAGTTTGGGCAGCCCACCGTGACCTGGCAGAAACGTGGCTCCAAGCTGAGAGGACTGTCTGTCTGCTTTAGTGTTGGGGTCTGGGAGTCAACGCTGGCCCCAGGTCTTCTCTCTGGCACCCTCAGCGTGGTTAAGTCTCCGGCACAAACTTGCTGGAGATGAATTCTGTGGGCATACCCCTCGTCTCCTGCTCTGTGTGGCTGGAGGAGAGAGCCGAGCCTTCCTCCAAGGCCCCTACATGGCAACCCCAGGCAGGACTTGTGGCCTGACTGGTCCAGGAGCCAGGGAGGTTCTGGGGCCCCGACTGCCTCCTGCCTCCGCTGCCCAGGGCCCCCAGAGTTCCCTGGTTCTCAGAGTGTTAGTGGAGCACCCTGTGAAGACGTCCGCCTCCAGAATCTAGTTTGCCTGCGTGGATTTTCACGGGTTCCTTCCTGGATGCTTCACAAAAGGCCCCTGAGCACAGTGGGCAGCACCACCTCCTTCTCACAGTGGGAGCTGGAGCCCACGAGCTCAATAATGTGTCCAAGGTGAAGGCGTAGAGGAGGATTTGCCCACCTGGGTGGCCTGGCTCCGCAGTCCATGGTCTTAACCGGGGTCCTTCCTGTCCCCTCTTATCACATGGACATTCTTGTAGCCACTGTGTGCTTGGCACTTCGTCGGGCACATGGGACCTTCTGGACAAGTACTTGTGAATCCAACAGTTTCTTTCTCAAGGAGGAAACCCTTTGAAATGGAAAATTCCCACAGGACTGGGACAGTTGGCAGTGTCCACGCCTGCATGCGACTCCCCAGCGTGGCTCCTGGTTCTTGGCCTGAGCAGGGGGGGAAGGCAAGTCACTGGCTTGTGGGTCTGACTTTTATGCAGATGCTCCTTGTGCTGACGCCATCTGGGAGCAGGTGGGACTGGACTCAACTGGCTCCAAGGCCAGCCCTTGCGCACGTAGGGCTATCGATAGCATTTAGTGTCCCAATAGCCCATTTTAAATACAAGTGTCTTAACGTGAGAAAGCCTTCTCTCTCTATAGGTTTTCACGTGTTAAAGTTTTTCTCCCAGTGTTTTGAGAATTCCCTAATTCACTGACATTTTAAGAGTTAATTTCAACCATGAACACGATATGAATGGACAAACACGTGTGATTCCTGTGAGATTTGGTTTTAGGAACTTGGGGACATTGTGGAGTGTCTCTGAGGTATTGAGCAACGGTGTCACCTTGGTCCACTTTGGCCCCAAGGATTCCACCAGTTGTTACTCAGAGGTCAACATTCACGGGGATACCCTTGCATGCCAGGCGCCTGCTTCTGGTGAGGAGGACACAGGGCTCCTGCCTCTTCAGGATCCCGCTTTTAGTGAGAAGACTGCATGCAGACAGACATTAGCAGAGTGCTGTCTATAGCAGGTGGAAAGCCCCAGATTGGGGACCTCAGAGGCACTAGGTCACAAGGATGCTATAGGTACCTTCCCCTTTGGAGGGGGTTACAGGGGAATGGTTAGAGGCACTAGCATTATTTGTTTACCCAACCATGGAAGCTTGACCATTTTGTAGATTTTGAAATATTTGATGACTCAAAATATATCAACTCTCTGAGCAATCCCCTAATAAAGATGGGATGTCCGAGCCACAGACCTTGGATAGGAAGCCAGACGGGAACGGGGGTAGGCAGAGGCTAGGGTTCAGTTGCAGATAACAGATTCCACTTTCACGGTTTAAGTGGAAAGTGATTCATTACCAGGTCTTAGGTGGCTTTCAACTCAGCAGAGACAGCTCTAGACCAAGGTTCCAGGAACAGCCCCCAGGCCCCCAGGATTTCAGTGCCTTTGCCATGATCGATCAGGACTTTTCAACCATAGCAACTCATCACCTCTGCTATGGTCCACACCAGTACAAGGGGAGCCTGCCCTGCAGCTGTCCCCTGAGTTAGAACTCAGAATCAGAGCTGCAGGGAGATCTGGAAAATCAGTGTGTAACTCCCCTGTCGCGGTGCAGGAAGGCATTCAGGAGGGATACTGTCGGAGCCAATCCACGGTACCTGTTGCAATTCATGCAAACACTGAGGTTCCCTCTCCAGGAGCACCTCAGGCCTGGCCTTATTCTCTGCCCTGTGCGGCCCCCACCCCCATATAACTTGCTTCTCAGGCCAGAGGCCTCTCCTGCAGCCCATGGCAAGCTGGGACTCACTGGGGCTGAGGTTCTCAGCACAGCTTGAGCCCACGGAGAACATGTGGCAGCCTTGAGGGTCTGGGTCATGTCGCTCCTACACAGACAGGGTGGGAAGGCGTCCCCAGGGCCTGGGCTGGTCCCAGGTCTAGGTGAAGGCTCACGCTGCCTCTCCCTTCTCTCCACAGAGATCCCCCAGTGCGCTGGCTGCAACCAGCCCATCCTGGACAAGTTCATCCTGAAGGTCCTGGACAGACACTGGCACAGCTCCTGCCTCAAGTGTGCAGACTGCCAGATGCAGCTGGCCGACCGGTGCTTCTCCAGAGCGGGCAGCGTCTACTGCAAGGAGGACTTCTTCAAGTACGTGGGGACCCTGGCAGCCCCTTCCCTCGCCTGGCCCTGCCCGCCCCCATGCAGCGAGGGGGATGTCTGCAGTGGTGGTGGGGGGCAGAGGGCCCCCCTGGCTGGGGTGGGTGAATCCTGCTGGTGAGAGGATACCCCTCATTGGGGTCCCCCTTCTGATCACCAGCCAGGCCTTGCCCGAGCTGGCAGGAGTGGGGGCCAGCTTCGGGGTCAGGGGAGGAGGGCTAACAGAGGATTTCTGCAAATCCGTAAGGAGTCCCTCTTTCTGTCCTGGTGAACTGGGGCCCCAGGGCACTTGGCTGTATCATTGCAGACTTTCAGAGGGTGCTTTAGTTCTGCCCATTCCTGGAGGAGCCTCTGTGGTGGTCCCCAGGCTGTTTCAAGGGCCCCAGAGGCTTGGAATAATCTCCCTGGTGGGCGTCAAGCCCGGCCCCATCAGCATTGCCAGTGTAGATGGAAACATGATGAAGAGGCACTCTCCTGTGACAGTGAAGAGCCTGAACCCAGTTATTAGTTATTAGTTGTGCATTCTTGGGCAATTACTTACCTTCTCTGGTTCCTCCTTTTTTCTATCTATAAAACAGCTGCTAATAATAGTTCCTACCTCATAAGGTTGTTATTAGCTTCAAATAGGTCAACATGTGTAAAGTTCTTAGGCAAGTGACTGTCACCTGAGGGGTGGCTTTTTGTTGTTGTTCTTAGTTATACATGACAGTAGAACATATTTTGACCTGTGGGGCACATGGAGTGTAGCTTCCCACTCCTGCGGTGGTGCGTGATGTGGAGTGACACTGGTCGTGTTTTCATATATGACATAGGAGATTGATGTCCTACTCATTCTGCTGTCTTTCCTACTCCCGTTCCCCCTTCCTCCCTCCATTCCCTCTGTTCACCTGGTGACCTCCCAGTGGTGGCTTTTAAGACGGTCTTGGGTCTTTCATTCTTGGGTTGGGTCCATCCAAAAAATTCTGGCTGAGCTTTGGGTTTGGGGTGAGGAAGCCTCCTGGAATTGGTTTTAGTGCCACTTAGATCGGGACTTCTCTCCTAGTATCTATTAGTCACCAGGGACCATGTGTCACAGCAAAGCCAAGAACAAGGGTTGGAGGGGGTGACACCAGTCAGTGACACTGAGCCCTGGGTGACTCAGAGGAGTGAAGTGGGGCGGTGGGGGAGGCTGCCCAAGGCCTGAAACATTCAAAGCAAAGGTCCAGCCCCCGGAGCTGGTGCTCACCCTCTTGAGACGGGAGGAGCAGGGAAGAGGAGCAGGAGAAACGACAGCCCCCGGCCCAGCACACAGGGTCCCCTGGGTCCTCCCCGAGATTAGACCACAAGGAGTATGTGAATTCAATTTTGGAAGATTCTCAAACCTCTTTACTGGGTGTGAGTAGAAGAGCCTGTCATGGATCTTGGAGCCACTGGGCCACCTCCTGGCTGGCTCGGAGGGTCGTGCTCATTGTCACCATCACACTCTGGTTCAATGCGTATGGCTCCCTCCCTGTGCATGTGCACATCTCCTGTGCTGCCCAGCCCCCCCCCCCACGTCCATCAGCTTTGCCCCAGGGCCCGTCTGCTGTTGGGAGAAGGGTGCTCCCTCCCCAGGGAAGATGGCCACCCTCTTAAGGGCCACCCATCCTCCTGCTCTGTCTTTGCACTTGTCATCTCTCTGTGTTGGCTGGAGCAAAGGCCTCTATGCTATTCATTTTTCTGTCCCCCACATAAGCACCTGGCCTTAGCCTTGACCACAGGCCATCACTGGTCTCTGGGTTTGAGGAACAAGGAGTAAGTCACAAGCCTCAAGGGCTTTGGTGACAAGTTGCTTCTGTGTCTTGTCTTGCCAGTCAGGAAGCCCCAGGCTGTGGGAAGGACAGAGGCCCGTCCTTCAGCTGCTCTCATTCCCCTTGTCCCCAGGATCTGCTCTGCTCTGTGAATGCCCCAGGTCAGGGCTGGCAACCCGGGGAGCTGGCCAGAGGTTTGGTGCTGAATCTGAGCCTTTAGCTCTGTGGTGGGTGCTGTGAGGGGCCGGGGACTTAAAGCTGAGGTGATTGTCCCCCTTCCAATGGAAGGTCAGTCAGAGGTGAAGACTGGTGCCTCCCAAGTCCCCAGCGAGGACACTTGGATTTGCCATGGCTGTTTGGAACAGGAAATCACAGCTGCAGGCCCCGTCATAGGTGAGGACAGGGAAGGAGGGAGTTGTCCGGGGTCAGAGCAGCTCACCCTCCCATTCCTGAGACACGAGGCCCTGCCGCCGCTCCTCACTGCAGCTCACTAATGCCAGCCGGCACCTGCGGGCAGATGGCACCCAGCAGTGGGGGCGCTGCCAGCAGGAGGTGGGGCAGTCCTGGACCTCAGGTCCCTCTCCTGTCTCACAGTCAGCTCTGGGAGTCCCACCAGGTGCCGTGTATTTGAATTTGTCCACCAGACTTCAGAATGCTCTTGGCCAAGGGGTTTGGTCACGGGAACAGGGAGCATCCTCTGCAAATGCTGCTTAAAGGAAAAAGAGGTGGCAAAGCTCCGGGGGTTTCTGGGAGCTGCCGCCCGTTCCTGCTCAGAGGCCGAGCCAGGGCTGGCTGGCTCTGCGGCTCCGCACTGTGGCCTCACGAGCGGGAACTGCAAGCTGGGGGCCAGGGCCTCCTTGTGTGGCATTTGCTAAGCAGGTTCCTTCCCAGGCCTCATGCTCAGCACACTGTGGCCCCATGTCTCCCTGCAAAGGGTCCATATTTTCACCCGTTTGTCCACAGGAGTGTGTGTGTGTGTGGGGGGGCTGCCCTGCACAAGCCCCGGGGGCGTCCTCCACTTGTATTCTGTGTGTGGCTTTACAATGAAGTGGGTGATGTTAAGAGCGACCCCCGGAGTTGGTGGAGAGGTGGAGCCAGGCCCTGGGGAGGCCAGAGGTCAGGACTCCCCCAGTCTTGGGCCAGGGAGCTGTAGTGATTGCTGGTGACGGGCAGCAGAGGGCGATGTTGGTGTGTAGCCAGACCAAGAAAGAAGTGGTGCCGGGAGGTGGTACTCTGTGGTTGTTGCATTTTTCTTTGGGGGCTGTTGAACTCTGACTTGCTCAATAACAGCAACTGATCTTTCTTGTTTGTTGTTTTTGCTTCACGGGTCCTTGGCTTCCTTTCTCTGAAGGAAATAAAATTCTGAGACCCAAGAGGAGCGGCCCTGAGGACTAATGCATTGATAGGGCTGTCATTTGCTCTGAGCACGGGGGGCCTTTAGGCATCAGGAGAGCCCACCCCTCATGGTAGGTTCTGGGGCCTCGTGCAGTTCGCATCATCAGCTGAGAGCCAACAACTCCTTGTACTGCTTTGAATACGCAGGTCCTTTCCAGACCACGTGTCCAGCATGTCCCAGATCCCACGTCTCCCTGCAAAGGGATGAGGGCCTGGAGAGTAAGGGGTTGGGAGAGGACTCCTGGGTCTCCTCCTCCTCACCAACGAGGTTCTCTGAGGAGCCTGGCAGCTGCCAACTGCAAAACACAGTGCAGACAGGACAGGTTCTCTGCTCCGAGGGCGGGCTTCCGGTGCCAGCTTCGTCAGTGGCTAACGGGGTGCCCTTGGGCAAGTTCCTTAACATCTCTGGCTTTTAGCGTCCTCTTCAGGAAACACAGGAGTTCATATGCTTTAAAAGAGGCCTGGCACACAGGAGAACTCTGCAAAGGGAGTCGCGAGCAGGCTTGGTGAACCCCAGTGAAGCTCCCTTGGATTCCCGTCCTTCTTTTTAGCTGTGTGTCCGTAAACAAATAGCCAGGCCTTCCCTTGTCTGTCAAGAGCGGCTCACAGGAGCCCAGAGTTGGGAAGGAGAGAGGGGTGACCGTGGCCAACCCAGTGGAGGTGCTCCATGGATATCTCTGGGTATCCGACCCTGACGTGAGTCTCTTGACGTGCTCCCCGGAGGGCCAGGCTTTCAGAGGTCCCTCCCAGCTGGGCCGGCTCCAGCCTTTCCTGGTCCCTGTTCCCCCAACTCTCCACCACCCAGCTCTGAGGGCTTCCTGTGGAGATGACTTAACTGCTTAGAGGTCCTCAGAGCGGGGGGGGGGTAGCCAGGCAGCGTGGGGGGGCTGAACCACAGGACAAACAAGATGGGTTGATTTATGTGAATATTTGGGAGACAAACCATTGATTATTAGGATACCAACCGCGTCACTACAGAGGTGAAGAGAGGGCGGACTCATACAGGTTTTGCAGTACAGGGCAAGCCTTGGAGGACATTCCAGGCCAGTGGGGAGCTTCAAGCCCTCCCACCACCAGGAGTCACACTCACAGGAGCCCATCCGGGGGCCGTGGGGGAAGTGCCAGGGCTCTAGGATGCTGTCACCTGGAGGCGTCTGTCTGAAGCATCCTGTCCTCAGGAGTGTCTCCTTGCCCCTGAGGCCCTTTCCCTGCCGGGTGGGCAGGGATGGGTACTGCTGGGTCCCTGGTGGAATGGAGGGCCTGTGTCACCAGAGCTGTACAGGACTGCTGGGTGGGTGGGGCGGTCGTTCCCCGGGGGGCTTGCAGGCCTCCCCTGGCCAGTCAGTCTCGGGCAGCCTCAGTCAGCAGCAGGTAGGCCACACCCCTGGGTGCCGCCGGGGTTTCAGCTCTGCCTCACCACTCAGCCATCACAGTGGGGTTTGCTGGCTGCAAAGGGGACTTCACTGGGGACCTTGACCGCTTCCTTGGGTGACCAGGACCTCCATTCTGCACAGAGGTCCCAGGACATGTGGTCACCTGGGGAAGTCAGGCTTAATCAACTCTTGCAGTAGGTGGAAAGTTTGAGTCCAGGCTTGGTGTCAACTTGAACCTCACAACCCCATTTCAAAATTTTAATTTTTTTGAGTTACTATGAGAATCTAGTAACCTGAAGTAAGTGCTCAGGGATTATCATTGTTCTCATCAAGGTCGTGAAGGTGCATGGATATAGGGAGAATAGGAGAGGAGTCTTGGGGTTGCAGGCTGGGGGTGGTGTGGCTGCAGAAGGCCTGGGGCAGACAGGTCTGGGGCTGGAGGTCAGGCTGTGTC